GCACTACAAGCTCCTCGCTCCACGGCTGTGCGCCGCCGCAGCCGCACTCGGCAGGGTCCTCCCAAACGGGCCAGGAGATGCGTGCCGTCGACTGTATCACGGGGTGATACGGTCGATGGCACTTTATGGAGCTCGGTTTGGGCTGAGTGCCTCAAACCAAGCACGGTGGCCTTGCTGCGAAGTTCGATCGTACTAATGTCTTCTCGCTCGGCGCGCCGTTGCTTTTTCCCAGCGGCGGCGGCGCGGGGGAAAGGGCGGCGGCGGCGGCGCGCCGGCGCGGCGCTCATATCTATTACAAAAGCTTTTTGCTAGCCGTCGAAGACGCCTTTGCCATGGGCAGACTACGTGCTTGACGTTCACGCCCTACTAGGGAACGTGGAAAATGGAATTTGAAATAAATTGGAAATGGAATGGAAGTGGAAATAAAAAGGTTGACTACTAGTCATTTACCTGTGGGCTATGCCAAGATCAGGCCCAACAAAGAGGGAAATACTAACTATAAATATCAAAGTTACCTTTTAAACTTTTTCCTACAACCTATTGTAGTTATATTTATAATTCTTAATAACTTAAATTCAAGATGTATTATAACCAACAGTCATTGAATACAGATTTACCTAATCTATTTGAGAGAACATATTGTCACTCAGTTAATACCTATACCTATGTATACTCTAACTAAATTAAGTAAAAATATAAGACAACATATTGTTTTCTATTATTAGGGTAGAACTTAATTATGGCGACTATGGTGTGTTATACATAAACCTGTATATTTTAGGTTATGCAGTGGTGGAAAGAACACATGAAATGGAATGTCCCCACCTACATATATGAATATAACACACTTACACCAGACAGTTACTAGGTAACTGAATCACCTGGTCGCACTAAATCGGTGATGTGCCACGGCCAAGGTTTATTCCTGATAAAGACTTCAAAGTGTATACCAAGGAAGAGTGCCTTTCAGAAACTACACATTTTTCATACTTAGGAGCTAATTTTGAAGAAAATGTTTTGCAGCATTGGATTGAGGAAAACACTTTTTGAAAACTATTTGCCCTACTTTAAGCTCAGCATTACGCCTGCGCTTATTATAATAATGTGAATTTCTGTCCTGGGACTTTTTAAGGTGCTGTTTCACTACAACAAATATGGATCTTAATTCTTTCAGTGAATCAGAGAATGAATAGTTTTTATCTATAGATATCAAAGAAATATCTACAGGTTGGTCAATGTTATGAAAAGAACCATCCAGCGCCATCTCCCTACCGTGGGTTAAAAAGAATGGGGTGTATTTAGTACCTTCATGTACCGAAGTATTGAGAGCACATTGCACCTCTGATATGTTCTTATCCCAATTTCTATGATCAGAACGCACATAGGAAGCAATAGTTCTAACAATCTCTCGATTCACCCGTTCAGTTTGATTGGTTTGAGGATGATAAACTGGATTATAAAATAAGTTAGGTACTTGATATTTATGAATCAAGTCTCGAAATTCTTTAGAAATAAATTGTGGACCATTGTCTACATAAACGAATTTTGGTACTCCATGAATAAGAAAGATACCCTTTTCCATACATTTGACTACATTTTTAGCAGTGACAGTTCTTAAAGGAAATATGATTACATATTTACTAAAGTAATCACAACAAACGAATAGGTATTTATTTTGAGAATATGATGGTGGAAAAGGTCCAAGTATATCACAGGATATGGCTTCTCCTGGTCTAGAGATAAACTTTGAGTTACCCATTAGACCAGCAGGTTTGACATTAACCGGTTTGTAACTATTACAAATGTCACAAGATTTAATGTATTTTTTAACATCATGGAAAAGAGATGGCCAATAATACCACTCAGAAATCTTTTTATGAGTTTTTGCAACACCAAAATGACCAGCGGTTGGATCATCATGGAACTTAATCAATATGTCAGAACGTTTTTCTAATGGGACTACTAATTTCCAAATAAATTGGGAAACAGCTTTACATATTCTTGGAAAGTCTAAACAGTTTATCGTTCTCAATTTTGTAATTGGGAAACTTTGAGGGATTTTTAGAGCATTTATCAAAAATATTTTTATACCATTTATCTTTGGTAGAATTACTATCTATTAAAGAATTAATTTTTATTCTAGACAAAGTGTCTGGAAGAACGTGTTCCTTACCCTTCCTATGGATTATTTCAAAATCAAATTGACCGAGTCTACAGGCCCATCTATTTAGACGACCAGTAGGGTTTTTAAGTTTGGAGAACCAAAGTAAAGAAGCGTGGTCAGTGACAATATAACATTTCCTGCCCTCTATGTAAGCACGATACTGTTCTAGAGCATATAATACTGCAAGTAATTCTCTTTCAGTAGCAGAGTAATTTACTTCCTGGGAATTTAGAGTCCTACTGCAATAAGCAATGGGGTGGTCAACATTGTCATATTTTTGTGTTAGAACAGCACCTACGGCATATGAAGATGCATCAGTATGTATGCTGAAAGGAAGGTCAAAATTAGGACATTTTAAAATAGGGGCAGAGATTAAAGCTGTTTTCAGCTTATTGAAAGCGTCGTCTGCTTCAGGAGACCATGAAAATATAACCTTTTTACTCGTTAAGCGAGTCAAAGGGCGAGAAATTTTGGAAATATTATTTATGAACCGACGATACCAACCGGCCATACCAAGAAATCTTTTTATACCTTTAGCATCTTTAGGGATGGGAAAATTGAAAATGGCTTCTACTTTACAAGGGTCAGTCCTTAAACCATATTGGTCAACAACATAACCAAGATATTTTAGTTCATTCCTACAAAAAATGGACTTTTTCATATTAATAGTTAGATTTGCAGCTTTTAGCTTTCATAGACTGACTTTAGGAGACGGATATGCTCGCTGAAAGTAGCTGTACAGATTATAATGTCATCGACAAAGCAAAAGACTTTGTTATCAAATTCAGCAGTAAACAGACTATCCATGAGTCGTTGCATGGTGGCTGATGCACCAACAAGACCAAAACACATACGGTTGTAATGATACAGTCCTTTACCAGGTACGGTGAATGCAGTTTTCTCTTTTGAAGATTTAGAAAGCTGATCTGGTGGTATGCGGCACTAAGGTCTAAAGAAGTTAGGTATTTAGCATCCCTTAAGTTGTCTAATATGTAACTAACATAAGGAAGTGGATATGCATCAGTTTTCGAAACTGAGTTCACTTTTCTGCTATCTAGACTAAGCCTAAGGTCGCCATTGGACTTGGAAACCATGACAACAGGAGAATTCCATGGAGAATGAGAAGGTTCTACTATACCTAAATGTAACATACGGTCTACTTCTTTTTCCAAAGCAAATTGCTTCTCAGGACTAAGTCGGTAATATTTTTGTTTTATTGGTTTTGCATCACCAGTATCAATGACATGTTCAAGAAGGTTAGTTTCACCAAGACCTACCCTTTCCGTATTAATGTTGTCAAATAAATTCTTGATTTGATCAATTTGGTTCTTTTGATCAATAGTTAAGGAATCAAAATCATTAAGTCCAGAGCGGGAAGGTAAAGTAGACATACTATCAATGTTCTCCAATTGAGTATTGTTTTTAAAAATATCAGGTGCTATATTAAAAGCTTTCCAAAAGTTCAATCCAAAGTGGATTGGTATATCAATATTGGGCTGAATGTAAAATTTAACAATTTCTAAATCATTATTATAACAAATAGGTAACATCATATATTGTGTGCATATTAATTCTTGACCACTGGCAACACATATTTTAATCGGACTATCAAAGTCATAAAGAGGAATTCCTATGTTCTGAAATAAAGTATGGCAATTGTTACCTAAAACAGAGCAAGAAGCACCACAGTCCAACAAACCTTTAACTTTAAGTCCAAGAATGTCTACAGATAAGTAAGGTCTATAATCATTATCCGGAGGTTCAAAATATGTCTTTCTGTTAAAGCGGGATGAAATTCGTTCTTATACTTTTTATGTTCTGGAGAAAAGACATGGCCAACTACTTTTTTGGCATAGAGCATTTAGGACACTCTGGTGTACGGACACCTCTCCCACCACACTTGAAACAAACAAGATCTTTAGATTTTAGACATCTACTAGTGTTATGGTTGTTATTACCACACCTAAAGCAATGTAGGTTGAATTTATTGGAGCTAGAGGGCTGATTAGATTTCTTATTAACGTCATTTTGATTTAGTGATATTTGATTTGTTTTAAAATTTACAAAAGATTGTTTTGATTTAGTAGGTTTACTCAAATTATATTTAAAATCAGGAGCCAATGAATCAGCTGTTAATACTGGTTCTCTGAACTGATTAGCTTTGACCTTTGCCAACTGAAGCTTTTTACACAAGAACTTGAGGTGTTCAATTGAAGCTATGTTATGCAATGCTAACTCGACACTATATTCCGGACGGATGTTCCTAAGGATGATGTCCAGTTGTTCATACTCGGGGATATTTTTCCTTAAACGTGAAAACATACCCACGACGATGGACAAGAAAACAACTATAGTTTCTGATTTTGCCTGGGTACGCTGCCGTATCTCAGCTAAGAGCAGGTGGTCTAAGTCAGGAATATCGAAGTCTTCACTGAGTGATTTTGTAACATCTGAGAAACATTCAAATTTGTGTTTATTGGCTCTGAACCAATATAAGGCAGGACCCTCTAGTAAATCCGGAAAACCGTCAAAGATCACATCTTTGGGAACCTTACGAGCAATCCTAAGTTCCTCTAATCGAGTTAAGAATACACGGACACAAGAATCGCCGCGATACTTTAAATTGAAAGAATTCAAATTATAGACCTTCGGAGAGAGCTGTTGAACAACCTGAACACTTTCAACAACTTCCTTCTCGGGTGTAGAGAAAGATTCCCCCGTTTCCTCGGGTTCATCACTATCACTTTCCAGATGCATGAGAATGCAAATAAGAGAAGATTTTAGTTTTGCAATTCCATCCTCTGGATTGCTTATCCTCGAAAGACTAGCTACTAACCGCTTAACCATGCGCTCACTGGATGTTAAATCCTTACTGCTTGCCTCAACCTCAGCAACCTTGGGAGTACATATGGCTACCTCAGACGACTGGTCGATGGTGAAATTGTCCATCGCCTTCACACTACCTCGTCGGGTCAATTTGCTGGTGTGACGCAGGAGTTTCCTCAGATCGTCCGTTGATGAGGTTGTTTCCGCAGGTAAGTGCCTTATAGACAGCTCATGTAACAGTTCGTCCTTATGTAGGTACTCAACTGGACAACCAACTGTAATGAAATCCATGTTGTAAGATTATACAAGTTTTACAACAAAAAAACTTAAATTCTAAAGCTAAACAATAGTCTTTAGTAGTATAATAATATACAGTATATAACTAAGTACAGTTAATACACTTAAATCAGGTAGGCTAACCTTTAATGGAGGTACCTAAACAAAAAAATATTTTCTCCGAGAGATACCGGAGACAAAATGGAAAGAATTCCAAACAATATTAGGTAGGCTAGACCTAAATAGGTGCCTAAAGAATATATTTAAGGTAAGTTTATGAGCTTCCTTTATGAAAAAGTAAGTTACAAAAAAATAATTACCCACTAAAGAAAAAAAATATATTTTAATATTCAATTTTATTTCATCTGAAATCTCCAGGCCAAACGTTGGGTACGACACTGTAATGGGTTTTTCCCGGCTACGGATAATTTGAAACAGTCGGCTAGAATTTGAAAAGTTAACAGTTAGCGGGTTTTATTAAGACCGTGCCTGGAGTACTGTGTGCAAAACTTATTTAAGAGGCGCCATGCACACAGTAGCAAACGATTTCAGATGGAATAAAAATGTCCACACATTAAATGTTCACATCCATTTATTCTATTGTCACATATTTAATGCAGTTTACATAACCAAGAATGTTAATTTAGATTCAGCATATAAGTTAAATTTCTACCCTTAAATGAGCCTACAAAATGGGTTAGTATTACCCGGTTAATCAGTCTGAGCTGTCCATGCGGTATCCACTCATCAACGGGCGGTCTGGTCACACGTGTCACATCCCCTGGATGATGGTATTTGTAAGGCAATGGGCAGCTTCCACACCCCGGGTACACAGGCAATAGTCCTGGCTGGAGTCCACGTGTCTAGGTCCTCGTGGCTCGAAGCATCTTTAGGTTGCTGAGATTGTGGCTTTTAGGTCATCGCGGAGTGAACATTTAAAATAAAAATAAAAGGCCCTAAGCTAGGCTTAACCTAAAGAACCCTGAAACAAAAGAACCTTGTCAAGCGCACGAAATATTAAAGCAGAATACGAGTTTCCTCGCCTGAAGTTTCAACTTACCATGCGGTTATCATGGGTTCAAATTTTATGCCCATCCTGTGGATGGGAGTTGTGGCATGTTATGATGCTCTGCCGGAGCGAAGTGCAACCAGAAAACGTTATATGTGGCAGAAAATTCCTTCACATCCTTCCTGATCTGAGGCTTATCGTAGAAAGAAAGATGATTTTTCGTGCGGTGACACAACTATCCGCATACCGAATACATCGAGACATAAGTCATCGGTATGCGGAATCGAATCAATCAATTTAATGGAAAAAATACCATTACAAACTAAATGTTAATTATAGAATTAACATTTTTCCACAAGGAGCGAAACAAATATATTCACTTTATTTTTAGGGATGAATTCCCTGAAAGAAACTATCAAAACTCAAAATTATATACTAATCGATCAGCTATCGATACCAATTAATACGATCTACAGATTCCGAACTAACAAACATGCCATCCCTATTACATCACAGATGCAAAAACCATTGTTCCTCTCATATAACGCTGGCGAAAGTCAAGACTACTCTGTATTATACAGCCTAAACAATTGATAAATTTATTATTTTTATATTTATATTGAATAATTGGTTGGCTGTATTAATTTTATGATCAATTTAATGTTAAACAAAGATTATAAGTCAAAGAAATGAAATTTATTCATAATTAAATAATCATGGACATGCGTTGCGATTCTGTAACTATTTATGTGAAGGAAAGTTTAAAGTTCGGATTTCTGAACGCAATTTAAAGTGACATTGGGGTTGACATTTGAGGTTATCAACCCTTCTGTTTATTATTGTTTACCAATGATTTGATTTTAAACTCAAATTAGCTCATTGATACAAAAAAAGTGTTACAGTATCGTTTTAGGTGGAAAAGAATTATTTTATTTTAAAATTTAAAATTTTAAAATAAAATAATTCGAGAAAATTGTACCTCGATCCTGAACAAAAGTGAAAGAGAAAGAAAAATTATTTCTTTGGACTAACTGCCCTAGAACAAAACTAATTCTATGTAGCATTCAGAGAAGATACTATGTAAGATATCCTTACTTAAGTTTAAAGTGAATATTGAAAACCTATGTTGGCCTACAATTGCCTAATGTATTGTTTACAAATAAACTATTGAAACTTAAATTAATTGTGCTTATTTTGTTTAAATGACACTTTATGAAATAACTTTGAGTTAATTATTAACTTAAGGTATAATCAAAGTTAATACAACTCATATAACTTTAAATGCCTAGGTACTAATATCCTAAGTTTATAAATATTCAATATTCCTAATGTACTTGAAGCACCAGTCTTCAAATATTAAGATTAAATATTAGATATTGCTATGCAATACCCTTTAATAATATGAAACTAAGTTTTATATTGTATGCAAGGTGATATTGCTAAACTAAATGCAAGTTCAGATCTTATTTGATAAGTATTATTTTAATTAACTAAATAATTTATTTAAAGAATACATTAAACTCACTATCCTATAGTGTGGAGAGTGTGTAAATATTAAAGTTTACTCATTAAACAGATAATAATCTATCATTTCCTTTACTAGGGAAAAAGTAATAAAGTAACAATAAAGAGTGCTTTACACTTATGAGTGCATTTGCATTACAACTATACAGTTGCTGTAGGAACACATTAACTATTGTGTACACTACCTATGATATTACAAAATAGATATGAGCGCTGATGGGTGCACGACCGGCGGCGGCGCGCCGACTGTTTGAGGTCGGCGACGGCGGCGCCGTCGGCGGCGTGACCCCTCAAGACTTTTTCATGTATCGGTAGGAAATAACAGATGAAACTTGATAAAAAAAAACCGTTTTATAAATCTAAAGTATTCTTATTTTCTGTAATATGTGTTATATGTATTAATTACACACGTAAAGAAAACAACATGGTTCATAAAATTAAAATAAAAACCTTTATGGCATTATACACAGTACAAATAAATCAACATCAGCATAAAATTTGAGTAACAATAAGCACTTAAAGTAACTATACCCAAAATAATGTAATATGGCAAAAGAAATTATTTTTTAAATATTTGTTTCTTAGGTTTTCACGCACATCCCCTCCGGCTACAGGCCCATAGTGGTGCTCGATGACGCCGGGAAGTTCTTCGAATGAATCCTGACGGGGCGTATCATCGAGCACCTGGAGGGGCCGGGTCCGAATCTGGCGGAACACCAGTTCGGGTTCCGTGGAAACCGGTCCATGGTGGAAGGGGTGGCCCTATTGAAGGGGTGGACTGAGACGGATACTCGGCGGGGAGAGACTGCTATTGCGGTGTCGCTGGACATCCGCAACGCCTTCAACAGCCTCCCCCACGAGTGCAATATGGAGGCACTGCGTTTCCACTGCGTGCCTCCATACCTGCGAGCGATCGTAGAGGACTACCTGCAGGGGAGGTCAGTCCTCTACGAAGGACCCGATGGAAGCATGTGCTCTCGGGCCATGGCCAGAGTACTTCCAGAGCAGTGGACCCAGCACTGACCCCTGGGATACAACTGGGTGCTGCGAGGCAGCCTCCTGCCCAACATGGAGGTTGTCTGCTTCGCCGACGACACGTTGGTCGCGGCGAAGGCAAAGTCCGTGGAGGAGGCGGTTCGCTTAGCGTCGGTCGGCACTTCGCTAACCGTCCGACGCATCCGCCTCCTGGGCCTGGATGTGGCCCTCGAACGAGGGCCATGCTGTTCCACGGCCCACGCCGCAGCACCCAACCGGGGCTCCATATTCGGGTGGAGGGGGTCAATATACCGGTCGAGGGAAGCCTGAAGTACCTCGGCCTGGTTCTGGACCTCCGATGGAGTTCCGAGGAGCACTACAAGCTCCTCGCTCCACGGCTGTGCGCCGCCGCAGCCGCACTCGGCAGGGTCCTCCCAAACGGGCCAGGAGATGCGTGCCGTCGACTGTATCACGGGGTGATACGGTCGATGGCACTTTATGGAGCTCCGGTTTGGGCTGAGTGCCTCAAACCAAGCACGGTGGCCTTGCTGCGAAGTTCGATCGTACTAATGGTCTTCTCGCTCGGCGCGCCGTTGCTTTTTCCCAGCGGCGGCGGCGCGGGGGAAAGGGCGGCGGCGGCGGCGCGCCGGCGCGGCGCTCATATCTATTACAAAAGCTTTTTGCTAGCCGTCGAAGACGCCTTTGCCATGGGCAGACTACGTGCTTGACGTTCACGCCCTACTAGGGAACGTGGAAAATGGAATTTGAAATAAATTGGAAATGGAATGGAAGTGGAAATAAAAAGGTTGACTACTAGTCATTTACCTGTGGGCTATGCCAAGATCAGGCCCAACAAAGAGGGAAATACTAACTATAAATATCAAAGTTACCTTTATAAACTTTTTCCTACAACCTATTGTAGTTATATTTATAATTCTTAATAACTTAAATTCAAGATGTATTATAACCAACAGTCATTGAATACAGATTTACCTAATCTATTTGAGAGAACATATTGTCACTCAGTTAATACCTATACCTATGTATACTCTAACTAAATTAAGTAAAAATATAAGACAACATATTGTTTTCTATTATTAGGGAGAACTTAATTATGGCGACTATGGTGTGTTATACATAAACCTGTATATTTTAGGTTATGCAGTGGTGGAAAGAACACATGAAATGGAATGTCCCCACCTACATATATGAATATAACACACTTACACCAGACAGTTACTAGGTAACTGAATCACCTGGTCGCACTAAATCGGTGATGTGCCACCGGCCAAGGTTTTTTCCTGATAAAGACTTCAAAGTGTATACCAAGGAAGAGTGCCTTTCAGAAACTACACATTTTTCATACTTAGGAGCTAATTTTGAAGAAAAATGTTTTGCAGCATTGGATTGAGGAAAACACTTTTTGAAAACTATTTGCCCTACTTTAAGCTCAGCATTACGCCTGCGCTTATTATAATAATGTGAATTTCTGTCCTGGGACTTTTTAAGGTGCTGTTTCACTACAACAAATATGGATCTTAATTCTTTCAGTGAATCAGAGAATGAATAGTTTTTATCTATAGATATCAAAGAAATATCTACAGGTTGGTCAATGTTATGAAAAGAACCATCCAGCGCCATCTCCCTACCGTGGGTTAAAAAGAATGGGGTGTATTTAGTACCTTCATGTACCGAAGTATTGAGAGCACATTGCACCTCTGATATGTTCTTATCCCAATTTCTATGATCAGAACGCACATAGGAAGCAATAGTTCTAACAATCTCTCGATTCACCCGTTCAGTTTGATTGGTTTGAGGATGATAAACTGGATTATAAAATAAGTTAGGTACTTGATATTTATGAATCAAGTCTCGAAATTCTTTAGAAATAAATTGTGGACCATTGTCTACATAAACGAATTTTGGTACTCCATGAATAAGAAAGATACCCTTTTCCATACATTTGACTACATTTTTAGCAGTGACAGTTCTTAAAGGAAATATGATTACATATTTACTAAAGTAATCACAACAAACGAATAGGTATTTATTTTGAGAATATGATGGTGGAAAAGGTCCAAGTATATCACAGGATATGGCTTCTCCTGGTCTAGAGATAAACTTTGAGTTACCCATTAGACCAGCAGGTTTGACATTAACCGGTTTGTAACTATTACAAATGTCACAAGATTTAATGTATTTTTTAACATCATGGAAAAGAGATGGCCAATAATACCACTCAGAAATCTTTTTATGAGTTTTTGCAACACCAAAATGACCAGCGGTTGGATCATCATGGAACTTAATCAATATGTCAGAACGTTTTTCTAATGGGACTACTAATTTCCAAATAAATTGGGAAACAGCTTTACATATATTCTTGGAAAGTCTAAACAGTTTATCGTTCTCAATTTTGTAATTGGGAAACTTTGAGGGATTTTTAGAGCATTTATCAAAAATATTTTTATACCATTTATCTTTGGTAGAATTACTATCTATTAAAGAATTAATTTTTATTCTAGACAAAGTGTCTGGAAGAACGTGTTCCTTACCCTTCCTATGGATTATTTCAAAATCAAATTGACCGAGTCTACAGGCCCATCTATTTAGACGACCAGTAGGGTTTTTAAGTTTGGAGAACCAAAGTAAAGAAGCGTGGTCAGTGACAATATAACATTTCCTGCCCTCTATGTAAGCACGATACTGTTCTAGAGCATATAATACTGCAAGTAATTCTCTTTCAGTAGCAGAGTAATTTACTTCCTGGGAATTTAGAGTCCTACTGCAATAAGCAATGGGGTGGTCAACATTGTCATATTTTTGTGTTAGAACAGCACCTACGGCATATGAAGATGCATCAGTATGTATGCTGAAAGGAAGGTCAAAATTAGGACATTTTAAAATAGGGGCAGAGATTAAAGCTGTTTTCAGCTTATTGAAAGCGTCGTCTGCTTCAGGAGACCATGAAAATATAACCTTTTTACTCGTTAAGCGAGTCAAAGGGCGAGAAATTTTGGAAATATTATTTATGAACCGACGATACCAACCGGCCATACCAAGAAATCTTTTTATACCTTTAGCATCTTTAGGGATGGGAAAATTGAAAATGGCTTCTACTTTACAAGGGTCAGTCCTTAAACCATATTGGTCAACAACATAACCAAGATATTTTAGTTCATTCCTACAAAAAATGGACTTTTTCATATTAATAGTTAGATTTGCAGCTTTTAGCTTTTCATAGACTGACTTTAGGAGACGGATATGCTCGCTGAAAGTAGCTGTACAGATTATAATGTCATCGACAAAGCAAAAGACTTTGTTATCAAATTCAGCAGTAAACAGACTATCCATGAGTCGTTGCATGGTGGCTGATGCACCAACAAGACCAAAACACATACGGTTGTAATGATACAGTCCTTTACCAGGTACGGTGAATGCAGTTTTCTCTTTTGAAGATTTAGAAAGCTGATCTGGTGGTATGCGGCACTAAGGTCTAAAGAAGTTAGGTATTTAGCATCCCTTAAGTTGTCTAATATGTAACTAACATAAGGAAGTGGATATGCATCAGTTTTCGAAACTGAGTTCACTTTTCTGCTATCTAGACTAAGCCTAAGGTCGCCATTGGACTTGGAAACCATGACAACAGGAGAATTCCATGGAGAATGAGAAGGTTCTACTATACCTAAATGTAACATACGGTCTACTTCTTTTTCCAAAGCAAATTGCTTCTCAGGACTAAGTCGGTAATATTTTTGTTTTATTGGTTTTGCATCACCAGTATCAATGACATGTTCAAGAAGGTTAGTTTCACCAAGACCTACCCTTTCCGTATTAATGTTGTCAAATAAATTCTTGATTTGATCAATTTGGTTCTTTTGATCAATAGTTAAGGAATCAAAATCATTAAGTCCAGAGCGGGAAGGTAAAGTAGACATACTATCAATGTTCTCCAATTGAGTATTGTTTTTAAAAATATCAGGTGCTATATTAAAAGCTTTCCAAAAGTTCAATCCAAAGTGGATTGGTATATCAATATTGGGCTGAATGTAAAATTTAACAATTTCTAAATCATTATTATAACAAATAGGTAACATCATATATTGTGTGCATATTAATTCTTGACCACTGGCAACACATATTTTAATCGGACTATCAAAGTCATAAAGAGGAATTCCTATGTTCTGAAATAAAGTATGGCAATTGTTACCTAAAACAGAGCAAGAAGCACCACAGTCCAACAAACCTTTAACTTTAAGTCCAAGAATGTCTACAGATAAGTAAGGTCTATAATCATTATCCGGAGGTTCAAAATATGTCTTTTCTGTTAAAGCGGGATGAAATTCGTTCTTATACTTTTTATGTTCTGGAGAAAAGACATGGCCAACTACTTTTTTGGCATAGAGCATTTAGGACACTCTGGTGTACGGACACCTCTCTCACCACACTTGAAACAAACAAGATCTTTAGATTTTAGACATCTACTAGTGTTATGGTTGTTATTACCACACCTAAAGCAATGTAGGTTGAATTTATTGGAGCTAGAGGGCTGATTAGATTTCTTATTAACGTCATTTTGATTTAGTGATGATATTTGATTTGTTTTAAAATTTACAAAAGATTGTTTTGATTTAGTAGGTTTACTCAAATTATATTTAAAATCAGGAGCCAATGAATCAGCTGTTAATACTGGTTCTCTGAACTGATTAGCTTTGACCTTTGCCAACTCAAGCTTTTTACACAAGAACTTGAGGTGTTCAATTGAAGCTATGTTATGCAATGCTAACTCGACACTATATTCCGGACGGATGTTCCTAAGGATGATGTCCAGTTGTTCATACTCGGGGATATTTTTCCTTAAACGTGAAAACATACCCACGACGATGGACAAGAAAACAACTATAGTTTCTGATTTTGCCTGGGTACGCTGCCGTATCTCAGCTAAGAGCAGGTGGTCTAAGTCAGGAATATCGAAGTCTTCACTGAGTGATTTTGTAACATCTCAGAAACATTCAAATTTGTGTTTATTGGCTCTGAACCAATATAAGGCAGGACCCTCTAGTAAATCCGGAAAACCGTCAAAGATCACATCTTTGGGAACCTTACGAGCAATCCTAAGTTCCTCTAATCGAGTTAAGAATACACGGACACAAGAATCGCCGCGATACTTTAAATTGAAAGAATTCAAATTATAGACCTTCGGAGAGAGCTGTTGAACAACCTGAACACTTTCAACAACTTCCTTCTCGGGTGTAGAGAAAGATTCCCCCGTTTCCTCGGGTTCATCACTATCACTTTCCAGATGCATGAGAATGCAAATAAGAGAAGATTTTAGTTTTGCAATTCCATCCTCTGGATTGCTTATCCTCGAAAGACTAGCTACTAACCGCTTAACCATGCGCTCACTGGATGTTAAATCCTTACTGCTTGCCTCAATCTCAGCAACCTTGGGAGTACATATGGCTACCTCAGACGACTGGTCGATGGTGAAATTGTCCATCGCCTTCACACTACCTCGTCGGGTCAATTTGCTGGTGTGACGCAGGAGTTTCCTCAGATCGTCCGTTGATGAGGTTGTTTCCGCAGGTAAGTGCCTTATAGACAGCTCATGTAACAGTTCGTCCTTATGTAGGTACTCAACTGGACAACCAACTGTAATGAAATCCATGTTGTAAGATTATACAAGTTTTACAACAAAAAAACTTAAATTCTAAAGCTAAACAATAGTCTTTAGTAGTATAATAATATACAGTATATAACTAAGTACAGTTAATACACTTAAATCAGGTAGGCTAACCTTTAATGGAGGTACCTAAACAAAAAAATTTTCTCCGAGAGATACCGGAGACAAAATGGAAAGAATTCCAAACAATATTAGGTAGGCTAGACCTAAATAGGTGCCTAAAGAATATATTTAAGGTAAGTTTATGAGCTTCCTTTATGAAAAAGTAAGTTACAAAAAAATAATTTAAGTTACCCACTAAAGAAAAAAAAATATATTTTAATATTCAATTTTATTTCATCTGAAATCTCCAGGCCAAACGTTGGGTACGACACTGTAATGGGTTTTTCCCGGCTACGGATAATTTGAAACAGTCGGCTAGAATTTGAAAAGTTAACAGTTAGCGGGTTTTATTAAGACCGTGCCTGGAGTACTGTGTGCAAAACTTATTTAAGAGGCGCCATGCACACAGTAGCAAACGATTTCAGATGGAATAAAAATGTCCACACATTAAATGTTCACATCCATTTATTCTATTGTCACATATTTAATGCAGTTTACATAACCAAGAATGTTAATTTAGATTCAGCATATAAGTTAAATTTCTACCCTTAAATGAGCCTACAAAATGGGTTAGTATTACCCGGTTAATCAGTCTGAGCTGTCCATGCGGTATCCACTCATCAACGGGCGGTCTGGTCACACGTGTCACATCCCCTGGATGATGGTATTTGTAAGGCAATGGGCAGCTTCCACACCCCGGGTACACAGGCAATAGTCCTGGCTGGAGTCCACGTGTCTAGGTCCTCGTGGCTCGAAGCATCTTTAGGTTGCTGAGATTGTGGCTTTTAGGTCATCGCGGAGTGAACATTTAAAATAAAAATAAAAGGCCCTAAGCTAGGCTTAACCTAAAGAACCCTGAAACAAAAGAACCTTGTCAAGCGCACGAAATATTAAAGCAGAATACGAGTTTCCTCGCCTGAAGTTTCAACTTACCATGCGGTTATCATGGGTTCAAATTTTATGCCCATCCTGTGGATGGGAGTTGTGGCATGTTATGATGCTCTGCCGGAGCGAAGTGCAACCAGAAAACGTTATATGTGGCAGAAAATTCCTTCACATCCTTCCTGATCTGAGGCTTATCGTAGAAAGAAAGATGATTTTTCGTGCGGTGACACAACTATCCGCATACCGAATACATCGAGACATAAGTCATCGGTATGCGGAATCGAATCAATCAATTTAATGGAAAAAATACCATTACAAACTAAATGTTAATTATAGAATTAACATTTTTCCACAAGGAGCGAAACAAATATATTCACTTTATTTTTAGGGATGAATTCCCTGAAAGAAACTATCAAAACTCAAAATTATATACTAATCGATCAGCTATCGATACCAATTAATACGATCTACAGATTCCGAACTAACAAACATGCCATCCCTATTACATCACAGATGCAAAAACCATTGTTCCTCTCATATAACGCTGGCGAAAGTCAAGACTACTCTGTATTATACAGCCTAAACAATTGATAAATTTATTATTTTTATATTTATATTGAATAATTGGTTGGCTGTATTAATTTTATGATCAATTTAATGTTAAACAAAGATTATAAGTCAAAGAAATGAAATTTATTCATAATTAAATAATCATGGACATGCGTTGCGATTCTGTAACTATTTATGTGAAGGAAAGTTTAAAGTTCGGATTTCTGAACGCAATTTAAAGTGACATTGGGGTTGACATTTGAGGTTATCAACCCTTCTGTTTATTATTGTTTACCAATGATTTGATTTTAAACTCAAATTAGCTCATTGATACAAAAAAACGTGTTACAGTATCGTTTTTACCACTTTACTAGGTCGAAAACCCCAAACATGAACATACCTAACAACTCATCTCATAGGCGTAAGGAGTCCCGGATGGATGGCATGGAATACAAATATCATCCATATAACAATTGCTAGTGGCGACTTGAGCCGAAAGCGGGTAAGAGGCGCGTTCATCCTCGCATAATTGTCTTACTACGCGCATTGCGAGGTAAGGGCTACAGCTTAATCCGAAACAAACGCGGTTAAAATAGTATGTATCTACAGGATCACTTGAATCAAATCTATACAAAAACTTCATATATTTACGATAATTTTCACTAACTAAAATCTGCAAATACATTTGTTTTATGTCTGAAGTAAAAGCTATTTTATATAAACGAAAATCAATTAATATAGACAATAAGTTATTCTGTAAATTAAATCCGGAATGCAAAACTTCATTCAACGAGACAGTCTGTTTTCGCGCTTGCGTCCATCACCATGCGTATTTTTGTGGTCGTTTTATCATGTCGAACGACAGCATGATGCGGTATAAAATAACCTGAATGATCAGCAGGATCGTTCACGTGAGTAATATAATTTTTATCAATATATTCGCGTATAATATTGTTATATTCTTGGTGTAGTTCAACACAAGCATTAAGCTTGCGTTCCAGTGAAAGAAATCTATTTTTAGCGATACGATATGAATCACCCAAGGTGGAAGGATCATCCGCGAAAGGTAACGCGACTGTATAGCGGCCTGTACTATCGCGCACAGTATTATTAACAAAAATAGTTTCGCACTCTTTTTCAGCTGGACTCAACATGGATTGACAAGGCAATACCTATTCGAGCTGCCAAAACTTTTTTAAGGTTGTGTCTAAATGAGAATCAAGTTGTATCATAGCTGTTAAAGAAATAGAATTATTATGAGCGGTAGATACTGTGTAAGTGTTACCTAAAATCATATAACCAAATATTGTATCGAAAGCGGTGGGCATGTCCGGTGGTCCGGTTACACGACCTTGAAGTAAAATATCGGCAAAGAACGAGGCCCCTATGAGAATATCAATCTCACCGGGAGAATGAAACTCATCATCAGCGAGACGAATATTTTGTAAATAAGAAAATAAAGTTTTATCAATATTAACAGTAGGTAAATCATCTGTAATGCGGTCAATAACACACACATCTAACGATATTGATATGTTATTAAAACGAGAATATAAAACTACTTTGGTTGCCCCCTTAATTGGATTAGGAGACGAGCCAATGTCTTTGACCACAGCACGCGGTAATTTATTAAAAGGCAGATTTAAGGTATGACAACATTTTGTAGTTATAAAGTTTGACTGAGAACCAGGATCAACGATTGCACGAACGCAATTTAAATTGCCGCGTGAATCTGCCGCGAATACCTTGACTGTACCGAGTAAACAAGTAGTATCATTCTTACAAAGCGGCGGCGACATATTACACAAGGAAATATTTTGTGAGTTTGCGTTATCTCGCTAAGCGACAGGTAACTGGCGCACGGTCTCAGACGTGCAAGGAGTAGTGGCGGAGCACAGTGGGTGAAAAAAAGAGGTCCCCTTTCATAGGATTTTTGAAAAAATAAAAATGTATATTATCCGTTTATGCGGTTTTATTGGACATATCAGTACATTGAATAATAAAATAGTTTGGGGAATTTCCTTTTAATCTGACACCATAAAGCACGGGCTTTAGAGTTTCAAATGTATGAAAACGGAATTTGTTTTGCTCATAACTTGTCTCGGTCTTCTACGGTCAAGCTGAAACTAATAGGGATTATTACCGGGTCTGTTACGAAGCCATGTGACCTTTGACCTTCACCCCGGACGGCCCCGTTCAAAAGATACGAATTTTTCAAAATGCTTATTAGGGTAATTTTGCTTTACGGGGTTATGTGTCTCAATAAACAGTTTGTTTATGTTTCTTGCCCAGCATTTAGTTATTAATACAGCGCAGATTATTATCTAATAAAACTATACATATATATATAGATAACGACACCATACAACTTAACTTTAAATAAAAGCGTCCTTATTCAAAAGATATGGAATTAATATAAATAGATAAAAGAAATAGTTTTAAGAAAAAGAAAACAAGAATACAATATTGTAAAGAATTACAATGAAGTCCTTCACAGCCTACAATTTAATCTTTTGTTTGACAATCGCTTAAAAGCCGCGCGCCATTAGCGAGAGCATCATTACATATAAACAATACAAACTCTATTGTTGCAGGTTTTGAGGAATTCAAAGGGTTACCCACAGTCATTACCTGCCGTTGTTTGCCTATAATAATTACTGATTATTTGCTTTTATTGTGGGTAGGTGAATAAATAATACGTTGTTATTATTATTATTCAACAATGACTTCGATTATAATAAATACGGAGTACACCTGTATTTCATTTCACTTATCATTATTGATTCGTACCGTAACGTTCTCTTTGCTCAAATTTTAAGTTGCTCAGAATGGAAGGGCTTGTGTCTAATCTCGACGTATATATATATATGAGGCAAAAATCTTTTAGTGCCGACATGTTATTTCAAAAAGTACTCGATTCAGTGAGATTTTCATTATCTGAAGAACAAAAGACAACTCTTAAAACGTTTTGTGCTACATATACGAGTAATCTTAAACGCAAATGGAAGTCAGCTAATTACACACAAGGGAATTTTATAAAGAAGTTTGCTGACTGGTTGGACCAAGAAATAAAATGGCCAGAGTTTGTTTCACTAGACATAACTGAAGAACAATCAAATATTATGACGAGTTTTGAAGATCCTTCAACAAGTATTTCAACAGTAACAAGACCTATTTTATCAACGGAATGCACTGTTCCTCATAGTGTGGCTGTGTCGACATCAACCGCTACATTTAGTCCTCGAAAAGAATTTGCCAATTTGAGTCCACTGCAAAAAAGAAGAAGAACTGAAAATCTCATTGCCGAAAACGATTTTGAGACACTTGCTTATGCCCTGGCTAGGAAAGCGGAAAATGAAAACCAAACGGACTTTGTAGAATTAGTGAAGCATTTGATTAAAAAGCCTGAAGATGCGCCAATGCTGCGAGCCTG